AGTTGATTATTGTCCTCTCAAGATCTGTGAAGAATTTTGATGTGACCCTGATGGGGATTGCATTGAATCTATAAATTGCCTTTGGTAGAATTGCCATTTTTACTATGTTGATCCTCCCAATCCAAGAGCAAGGGAGGTCCTTCCATTTTCTGGTATACTCCTCAGTTTCTTTCTTCAATGCCTTAAAGTTGTTGTCAAATAGATCTTTCACTTCCTTAGTCACAGTTACCCCAAGATATTTTATGCTGTTTGTGGCGATCGTGGAAGGTGAAGCTTCTCTGATTTCTCTCTCTGCTTCCATATCCTTTGTGTATAAGAGGGCAACTGATTTTTTGGAGTTGATCTTGTATCCTGCCACATTACTAAAGGTGTTTATCAGCTGTAAAAGTTCTTTGGTGGAGTTTTGGGGGTCGCTTATGTACACTATCATATCATCTGCAAATAACGAAAGTTTAACTTCTTCCTTTCCAATTCGAATCCCCTTGATCCCCTTATGTTGTCTTATTGCTATTGCTAGAACTTCAAGCACTATATTGAAGAGGTATGGCGAGAGTGGACAGCCTTGTTGTGTTCCTGAGTTTAGTGGGATGGCTTTAAGTTTCTCTCCATTTAATTTGATGTTAGCTGTTGGCTTGCTGTATATAGCTTTTATTATATTTAGGTATGACCCTTAAATCCCTAATCTCTCCAAGACTTTTATCATAAGGAGATGTTGAATTTTGTCAAATGCTTTTTCAGCATCTAATGAAATGATCATATGATTTTTTTCTTTTAGCTTATTTATATGCTGGATTACATTGAAAGATTTTCGTATGTTGAATGAGCCCTGCATCCCTGGGATGAAGCCTACTTGATCATAATGGATAATTTTTCGGATGTGTTCTTGGATTCGGTTTGCCAATATTTTGTTGAGGATTTTTGCATCGATGTTCATGAGTGAGATTGGCCTATAATTTTCTCTCTTGGTTGAGTCTTTGTGCGGTTTTGGTATCAGAGTAACTGTAGCTTCATAAAAGGAATTTGGCAATGCCTCTTCTGTTTCTATATTGTGAAATACATTAAGGAGTATAGGTATTAGGTCTTCTTGGAAGTTCTGGTAGAATTCCGCATTGAAACCATCTGGTCCTGGGCTTTTTTTGGTAGGGAGGTTTTTGATAACCTCTTCTAATTCTTCACGACTAACAGGTCTATTTAGATTGTTAACCTGGTCCTGGTTTAACTTTGGTATATGGTATTTATCTAAAAATGTGTCCATTTCCTTTACACTTTCCATTTTTGTGGCATACAGGCTTTTGTAGTAAGATCTAATGATTCTCTGAATTTCCTCTGTGTTTGTGGTTATGTCCCCCTTTTCATTTCTGATCTTATTAATTTGCAAATTCTCTCTCTGTCACTTGATTAGTTTGGATAGGGGTTTATCAATCTTGTTGATTTTCTCCAGGAACCAGCTTTTTGTTTCATTGATTCTTTGGATTGTTTTCTGTGTTTCTATTTTGTTGATTTCAGCCCTCAGTTTGATTATTTCCAGTCTTCTACTCCTCCTAGGTGAGTCTGCTTCTTTTTTTTCTAGAGCTTTCAGGTGGGCTGTTAAGTCTCCAATGTGAGCTTTCTCTGTTTTCTTTAAGTGGGCACTTAGTGCTATGAACTTTCTTCTTAGGACTGCTTTCATAGTGTCCCATAAGTTTAAGTATGTTGTTTCTTTATTTTCATTGAATTCCATGAAGACTTTAATTTCTTTCTTAATTTCTTCCTTAATCCAGGTATGGTTCAGTAGTTGACTGTTCAGTTTCCATGAATTTGTAGGCTTTCTGAGGATAGCATTGTTGTTGAATTCTAACTTTAATCCCTGGTGATCTGATAAGACACATGTGGTTACTAATATTTTTTTGTAACTGTGGATGTTTGCTTTGTTACCGACTATGTGGTCGACTTTTGAGAAGTTTTCCATGAGCTGCAGAGAAGAAGGTATATTCTTTCCTATTTGGGTGGAATGTTCTATAGATGTCTGTTAAGTCCATTTGATTCATTACTTCCATTAATTCTCTTATTTCTCTGTTAGGTTTCTGTCTGATTGACCTGTCCATTGGTGAGAGAGGAGTGTTGAAGTCTCCTACTATTAGTGTGTGCGGTTTGATGGCTGCCTTGAGTTTTAGCAATGTTTCTTTTATGTACGTGGGTGCTTTTATATTAGGGGCATAGATGTTCAGGATTGAGACTTCATCCTGATGAACTGTTCCTGTTATGAGTATAAAATGCCCCTCTCCATCTCTCCTGATTGATTTAAGTTTGAAGTCAACTTTGTTAGAGGTTAGTATGGCCACACCTGCTTGTTTCTTAGGTCCATTTGCTTGATAAGCCTTTTCCCAGCCCTTTCCTCTGAGTAGGTGCCTGTCTTTGTGGTTGAGGTGTGATTCTTGTAAACAGCAGAATGTTGGATCCTGTTTTCGTATCCAATCTCTTAGCCTGTGCCTTTTAATAGGTGAGTTGAGTCCATTGACATTAAGTGATATTAATGACCAGTGGTTGTTCACTCCAGTCATTTTTTTTAGTCATAGAGTTTGTGTGTTTCCCTTCTTTGATTTGTGTTGGTGAAGGGTCTCTAGATGTCTGAGTTATTGTGGTCATTGTTGGACTCCTTGGTTAGTGATTTTCCTTCAATTACTTTCTGTAAGTCTGGATTTGTGGCTGCGTATTGTTTAAATTTGTTTTTATCCTGGAAAATTTTGTTTTCTCCATTTATAGTGAACGAAAGCTTGGCTGGGTATAGTAATCTGGGCTTGCATCCATGGTCTCTCAGTTTCTGCAGTATGTCTATCCAGGACCTTCTGGCTTTCATGGTTTCCATGGAGAAGTCAAGTGTAAGTCTGATAGGTTTACCTTTATAAGTAATTTGGCCTTTTTCCTTTGCAGCTCTTAATATTCTTTCCTTATTCTGTATATTTTGTGTTTTGATAATTATATGGCGAGGGGATGTTTTTTTTTGATCCAGCCTATTCGGTGTTCTGTATGCTTCTTGAACCTTCATAGGTATATCTTTCTTTAGGTTGGGAAAGTTTTCTTCTATAATTTTATTAAATATATTTTCTGGACCATTGAGCTGCACTTCTCCTTCTTCTACTCCTATTATTCTTAGGTTTGGTCTTTTTATTGTGTCCTATATTTCCTGAATATTTTGTGATGAGAGTTTGTTGGACTTGCTGTTTTCTTTGATCAGTGTGTTTATTTTCTTTATGGTATCTTCAGAATCTGAGATTCTTTCTTCTAACTCTTGTATTCTGTTGGTTATGCTTGTTTCTCTAGACTCTGTTTGTTTACTTAAATTTTCCATGTCCAGCCGGCCCTCTGTTTGTGTTTTCTTCTTTACCGCCATTTCAGTTTTCAAGTCTTGCACCGTTTCCATTATCTGTTTGATTGTTTTTCCTTGGTTTTCTAGGGTATCATTCACTGATTTATTCAATTCTTCAAACTTTCTGTTATATTTTTCATCCATTTCTATAAGGGCGTTTTTTACATGCTGTTTAAGGGCGTCAATCACTTTCATGAAGTCAATCTTTTCTACTTCTTCTTGATTAATGTGTTCATGTCCTCCCGTTGTGAGGTTGCTGGTTTCTGGTGGCTTCATGTTTCTTTTCAGCTTGTTGGGCGAATTCTTTCCTTGGCGTCTGCCCATCTCTTCTTCCAAATGCTCCCTTATGGACCTTCTTTACCGGATCAGGTCTCCTTGCCTACCCAACGCTGGCTCTCCCCAACGCTGGGTCTCCCCAAAGCTGGGTCTCCTGGCGCCGAGAGATCAGGCCTCCGTGCTGGTGGGCAGGTCGCAAACAAAGCATCTACCCTGCTTGGTGCAGGCAGGCCAAAGAAACAAAGGAACTCCTGCCCGCTTGGGTGCCCCGAGGATTCGGACCCAGTGCCCAGACAGGCTGGGCTGGGTGATGTTATGTGCCGAAAGAGGGTGGTGGGGCCGAAGTGGGGAGGGTTCTGGATGGAAGCTGGGTGGGCTAGGAAGAAAGAGGCGGTATGCAGGGAGTGGAGGCCCTGCCGAGAGCTCAAGAGGGATAGGGGGCCAAGGAACCTCTGAGCTCCCCTTCCCAGGCTGGCGCCACGGGGCCAGAAACTCACCCCAACGCTGGGTCTCCTGGCGCCAAGAGAGCAGACTCCATAATTTTTAAGGAAGACTAGAATATAGACCTGATAATGGAGGGGAGAATTAGCAATAACAATAGCGAAAGAATTCATATAAAGTATTTTCAAAAGGAAAATCTAGTAGTTAAAAAGAGAAATGACACAAAGAGGCATTCCATTGAAACAAAAATAGAAATAAACCTGCAAAGAGATGGTATAGCTTCTAAGTATCAGAAAGATACAAATACAAAACACAATATGTGGCACTGGGAAGCTGTCTCGGCTGGTTTCACTTGCTCTGAAAGTTTGAGGACCTGAGTTCAAATCCCCAACACCAGTGTGAAAGGTTGAGCATGGCTGTGCATACTTATAGCAACTGCATTAGGGAGCAGAGACAGGCAGATCCAGAGAGCTCGCTGGCCAGCCAACGTGTCCAAAGCAATAAACTTCCTGTTCAATAAAAGACTGTCTCAATCAGTCAGAGCACACAATAGAGGAATTCACTCAATGTCATCCTGTAGTCTCCCCCATGCATGTAACACACACACACACACACACACACACACACACACACACACACACGCGTGTTCGAGAGAAAGAGAGAGAGAGAGAGAGAGAGAGAGAGAGAGAGAGAGAGAGAGAATGAGAAGGCAGTAAAATGTCATTCAGTCACTCAGTTTCCTAATTGCTTCTGACAATACAAACCCTTGGGAGGGTAAATCAAGTGGGTGAGTGGGAAAGTAGCCAGTGTGTGCCTTAGTTTGTCATGGACATCGAGATGTGAGGAAAATAGTACTACATGGTTTCTCTTTTGTAGGAAGATCAGGCTAATAGGTAATTTTGAAAATCAGTGAGGTAATATCTCTTTATTTCTTTAGGTATGGCTTTCAGTGGATGGTGGCAATACTTTTGAACAATTGTGCGAATTTCTCAGTGACTTTGTAAGGAAGACTATTCATTGTTTTTATTCTTCAGCTATTTCTTTTATTACACAAAATGGAATGATTTACATGACAAAGGCAGGTAAGGAACATTCTTTTTGGGGTTTTAAGTTAGTTCTACATTTGACTCAGGAATGTAAACTGTTTGAAAAATATGTATTAATCAACTAATAATAAGGCCTCAAATATAGGACTCTACAGAGACAAATCATATGAACAGCCATAAAAAAGAACCCTGGGTTAGCATGCTGGCTGTGTTTTCAGTGCTGTTTCCTTTTCCCAAACCAAATAATAATACATGCCACAATGGAGATATAATTTTGCTTCACATGTTTTAGACAGTGTCTTATTTAATACTCACAACTGCAATGCCAAAGAAGGAAGTGCTTGCTTTGGTTTTGCTGATGAAGTAGATATAGCTCAGGTCACAGAAACTTAAGAAGTGACACGATATGAATGATTGTTTGCTCTCCATCTTCACAGTTTCTTTGACTGAGTCAATGAAGCTGTCAGTTTGTTGTAAAATGAAAAAAAAAAAGTTGGCCGTGATTGATCTAACCTACAATTGCCTGCTCCCTTCCCATTCAGTTGAATACAACCAACCAGACTTGGGACCTGAATCAGGAAGGGCATGGTCCTCGTGTTTCCGTGTCCCCCTGCTCTTCATTTTCAATTTGCTATTCTGTCTTTGAGGTTTTGAAATCTTTTTTTTTAGTGGAGTATTTTTCCTTTTTGTTAAAGGTTTTTAATATGAATAATATTACATGATTTTCCCTTCCCTTTCTTCCCTCTATCCCCTCCCATATAGCTCTCCCCACTTTGTCTCAAATTCGTATATTTTTCATTAATTGTTGTGAAATATATGCACACAGGCACACAATCTGTTCAGTCCATACACTATATACAATATAACAATATATAATATAATGTTACCTGTATATATATATATTATTTCATTCCCGAATATTTGATATTGGCAAACCTATAGGGAGACTCTTTCCTAGGGAAGACTATTTCTCTTGCTCGCAGCACTCTTTACTTCCCTGTAGTTCTTTATCTAGTGTTGGAGCCATGAGACTTTCCCCTTTCATGTTATCATGTCTATTGGCTGTTGTAATAGGAGCGGCGGGGCTGTGTCCCCAGCACCCTGGCCGCCTGGCTAGCTTATGCCCGAAATAACAACACACAAACTGTATTCATTTAAACACTGCTTGGCCCATTTCTATCTAGCCTCTTCTAGGCTAACTCTCGCACCTGGACTAGCCCATTTTTTATAATCTGTGTAGCCTACGAGGTGGCTTACCAGGGAGATTCTAGCCTACGTTCATCCTGGGTCGGAGCTTCATCGTGTGTGTCTGCCCAGGAGAGAGGAGCATGGCGTCTCTCTCCAGAGGGCAGAGCTGTTGAGTCTGAGCTCACTTCCTCTTCCTCCCAGCATTCTGTTCTGTTTACTCCACCCACCTATGTTTTAACCTATGAGGGCCAAGCAGTTTCTTTATTGCTTAACCAATGAAATCAACAGATTGATATATGACACTCCCACATCAGTTGGCTTGTTTGGGAATCATATTGTAGAGACTGCATAGGTATAGCTCCCACTATACACATAGAAGATACCATGACTTCCTGTTCTGGCTCTTACATTCTTTCTTCCCACTCTTCCGCAATCCTGCCTGAGCCTTGGATGCCAGAGTTGTATTGTCAATGTATCAGTTGTGGCTGGGAACCACATGATCTCTTGTCCTCTGCCTTCTGATTAGTTATGCTTTCCTGTAATGGCTGTCTTTTAAAACTAAAAATTTCTTTGATAATGGGTGAAAGCTACATTCAACTATGGCTATAAGGATTAATATTTAGAATGCAGTTAGGAATTATAATGGCTTAGTAAGGTGGTGTTTATAGATTCTCTCTCCACTATTGCTAGTGGTCTTAGCTGGGGTCATCCTTGTGGATTCCTTTGAGTTTTCCTAGTACTAGGGTTCTCCCTAACCCCCAAATGCCCTCTGTACCAAGATATCTCTTTCATTATTCTTCATGTCTATCTTGCCCACAAACCACCCAACATGATCCCTCATGTTCCCATTCCCCTAGTGTTCTCCCACCCCCAGTTAACCCAGGAGTTTCCCCTTCCCAGGAGAATCCAAGCATCTCTCCTTGGGCCCTCCTTTTTACCTAGCTTTTCTTGGGCCATGGTTTGTAGCCTGGCTATCCTTTGCTTCTCATATAATATCCACTTAAGAATGAGTTCATGGTATTGTTTGTCTTTCTGGTTCTCTGTGCCTCACTCAGGATGATTTTTATCTAGTTCCATTCATTTGCCTTCAAATTTTATGATGCTATTACTTTTTTAAAAACCACTTAGTAATACTCCATTGTGTATATATACCATGTTTTCTTTTTTTTCTTGATTTTTATTGAGCTCTACATTTTTCTCTGCTCCCCTCCCTGATCTCCCCTCTCCTTCAACTCTCTCCTAAGGTCCCCAAGCTCCCAATTTATTCAGGAGATCTTGCCCTTTTTTACTTCCCATGTAGATTAGATCCATGTCTGTCTCTCTTAGTTTCATTGTTGTCTAGGTTCTCTGGGATTGTGATTTGTAGGCTGGTTTTCTTTGCTTTATGTTTAAAAACCACTTATGAGTGAGTACATGTGATAATTGTCTTTCAGTGTCTGGGTTACTTCTCTTAAAATGATGTTTTTGAACTCCATCCATTTGCCTGCAAATTTCATGATGTCATTATTTTTTTCTGCTGTGTAGTACTCCATTGTGTAAATGTATTACACTTTCCTTATCCATTCTTTGGTTGAGGGGCATTTAGGTTGTTTCCAGGTTCTGTCTACGACAAACAATGCTGCTATGAACATAGTTGAGCACATGTCGTTGTGGCACGGTTGAACATCCTTTGGATATATACCCCAAAGATGTATTGATGGGTCTTGAGGAAGGATATTTTCTGAGAAATCACCACACTGATATCCAAAGGGGCTGTACCAGCTCACACTCCCACCAGCAATGCAGGAGTTTTCCCTTTACCCCACAGCCTCTCCAGCATAACATGTCATCAGTGTTTTTGATCTTGGCCATTCTTACAGGTGTAAGATTGAATCTCAGAGTTGTTTTGATTTGCATTTCTCTGATAACTAAGGATGCTGAGCATTTCCTTAAGTGTCTTTCAGCCATTTTAGATTCCTCTGTTGAGAATTCTCTGTTTAGGTCTGTACTCCATTTTTTTTATTGGATTATTGTTCTTTTGATGACCAATTTCTTGAGTTCTTTGCATATTTTGGAGATCAGACCTCTGTCTGATATGGGGTTGGTGAAGATCTTTTTCCTTCTGTAGGCTGTCATTTTTGTCTTGTTGACCATATCCTTTGCTTTGTAGAAGCTTTTCAGTTTTAGGACGTCCCATTTATTAATTATTTCTCTCAGTGTCTGTGCTTTAGGGGTTATATTTAGGAAGTGGTCTCCTGTGCCAAGGTGTTCAAGTGTACTTCCCATTTTCTCTTCTATGAGGTTCAGTGTGGCTGACTTTATGTTGAGGTCTTTGATCCATTTGGACTTGAGTTTTGTGCATTGTGATAGATATGGGTTTATTTTCATTCTTCTCAATGTTGATATTCAGTTATGACAGCACCACTTGTTAAATATGCTTTCTTTTTTCCATTTGATATATTTTGCTTCTTTTTCAAAAATCAGGTAATCAGGTGTTGAAAATTGTGTGGATTAATATTAGGGTCTTCAATTCAATTCCATTGGTCCTCCTGTCTGTTTTTATGCAATTACCAAGCTGTTTTCAGTAATATAGCTCTGTAGTAGAGTTTGAAGTCAGAGATTGTGATTCCTCCAGAAGTTCTTTTATTGTACAGGATTGTTTTTGGCTATGCTGTTTTTTCTGCTTTTCCATATGAAGTTGAGTACTGTTCTTTCAAGGTCTTTGAAGAATTTTTCTGGGATTTTCATGGGCATTACATTTAATCTGTAAATTGAGTTAGGTAAGATTGCCACTTTTACTATGTTCATTCTACCTGTCCAAGAGCATGGGAGATCTTTCCACTTTCTGGTGTCTTCTTCAATTTCTTTCTTCAAAGATTTAAAGTTCTTGTCATACATGTCTTTTACTTGTTTGGTTAGAGTTACTCCAAGATATTTTATGCTGTTTGTGGCTATTGTGAAGGATGATGTCTCTCTGATTTCATTCTCAGCCCTTTTATCATCTGTGTACAGGAGAGCTATTAATTTTTTTTTGAGTTAATCTTGTATTCTGCTACCTTACTAAAAGTGTTTATGAGTTATAGAAGTTCCTTGGTAAAATTTTTCGGATCACTTATGTAAACTATCATATCATCATCAAATAGTGAGACTTTGACATCTTCTCTGATATGTATCCCCTTGATCTCTTTTTGGTGTCTTATTGCTCTAGCTAGGACCTCAATAAGTACTATTTTGAATAGAAATGGAGAGAGTGGACAACTTGTCTTGTTCCTGATTTCAGTGGTAGCACTGTAAGTTTCTCTCCATTTAGTTTGATGTTGGCTGTTGGCTTTCTGTATATTGCCTTTTATTATGTTTAGGTATGTTTCTTATATCCCTGCTCTCACCAAGGCCTTTATCATGAAGAGATGTATTTTATCAAAAGCTTTTTCAGCATCTAATGAGATGATCATGTTGTTTTTATTTTTCAGTTTGTTTATATGGTGGATTACGTTGACAGATTTTCATATTTTGAACCATCCCTACACCTCTCTAATCAAACTGGATGGTGGTTCTGATGTGTTTTTGTATCAATTTGTGAGCATTTTATTTTATATTTTTGCATCAATGTTCATTAGTGGTACCACATTTTCTTAATCCATTCTTCAGTTTATGGGCATCTAGGTTGTTTCCAGGTTCCAGCATTTATGGATAATGCTTTTATGAACATAGTTGAGAAATGTCCTTGTAGTAAGTCACATTGGGTATATGCCCAAGATTGGTTTAGCTGGACCTTGTGGAAGAATGTTCTCAATTTTCTGAAAAACCTCAAGACTGATTTCCAAAGTGCCTGTACAAGTTTGCACTCCCACCAGCAGTGTAGGAATGCT